AATTTAGAGAAGACTGAGTTGTTGCAATTGTGAAGCATCCAGGCAAACCAGAAACTATTGGAATTCCTGTCATTATTGCAAGAGTTCGACGTGCTGTGAATGGTAATCCTCGGCGTTCACTTCGTAAACATGCACAAGCGCTAAATTTGTCTCGTGCTAGTATCCAGCATATTTTAAGGAAGGATTTAAGTTTTCACCCTTACAAAATTCACTTAAGCCAATATTTCAAAGAAACTAATCACTTACTGAAGAAAAATTTTTCTGATGAGATGGTGGCTCGTTTTTGAAATGAAGGTGGCTTAGAAGGGATTATTTTCAGTGATGAGGCTCACTTTCACTTTAATGGATATGTCATCAAACACAATGCTCGCTACTGGTATCCTGAAAATCCACATGAATTACATCAGAAACAGTTGCATTCAAGAAAGGTAACGGTTTAGTGTGGCATGTCTGCATCGGGGATCATCGGACCCTACTTTTTTGAAGATGCTAAGGGACGCACACTGTCAACAGTGCACGATACACTGCCATGTTGTGGGATTGGCTACGTCCAGAATTGAATAATTTTCCAGGGTATATTCCAGGCAATACATGGTTCTAAACCTAGTTTAGAACTATGCTAGTATTTATTATTCATTTTTTTAAATAATTATGCTACATCTTCTCCTAATTGATTTATTATTTATTCTCTCAGCATATTGTACGTCTGTTCTCTCAGAATTATCATTCATTCATAAACAATATATATCTTATCATGGATATTTAATCAGTATTTAATTTATTTACTTATTTTCTTCTTTTCCAACCTATGTTCGATAACTACTGGACATAGGTCTCTCTTCCATTTGTTTCCACTGATATCTACTCTTAGCATTTCTCATCTACTGCTTGCTCACGATATGTTTGATTATTAATTTTGTTGGTTTGTAATTAATAACCATTTCGTACTTCCTTTTCTGAGTGACAAGTCTTCGAGTTTTCCTTTTTTTGTTCATACTATATCTTACGTATGTTTTTAAGCATCTCTTCCAAATTTTATCATTGATCATATGGAAGAGTACCTACCGAAGGGTTTTCCTTGATATTTCTTAAATATATATATCGGTTATACATTTCAGTCAGAAACACATTATATAATCAGAAGTGTATCTTTAGTAATCTACATAAATTATAAATATTTGGCGATAATTTTTTTTCTTGTTAATGATTTCAGTTAATTATTTCTAGGTGGATCACACTATTGCTCTCTCAAGAATTTCCTCTGCCTGATGTACTTAGGATATGGGACTCATTATTCTCAGATAAAAAAAGATTTAATTTTTTAATCTTTGTCTGCTGTGCAATGATCGTGTAAGTTCTAATAAATTCGCTATATAAATTAAAAGATAAGCTCAAAAACAGATTGGCCTATAATGATTGCAAATATACATCCCACCTATCTGTTTTTGAGTTTACCAAAACCTACATCTAGCTGATCAGAACAAAATAGTTCGAAATTAGAACATTGACTAATTGAACAGTTTTTTTTTTGTATTAAATACTAAATATTTATTTTTAGAATTCTGAGGAATCAATTATTAGAAGGCGATTTTCCGTCCAACCTGAAATTACTCCAAAACTTTCCACCTATGGACGTACAAATTATTCTATCAAGAGCTGTTGAATTATCGCAACAAAGATACTTTAAACTCAATACTCCACATTAGAAAGACATTACTCATTTATCTAATCTCATTTTTATATAAGTTTTCTATTAATTATAGAATTATAATAAATTTATTCATATACACACTTTTTTTATTACATCTCTGAATTCAAATTATCCACATAAAAAAATTCAAGTGGGATCCAATAAAAGTGTCCTGAAATGTAATTATTCTCTGACAAAAAAGGTGGGTCAAAATTAAAATAATTAATTCTTTAGTTTATTGATATCTTACAAAATAAAGGAAGAACGTGCCTACAGAGTGGTAATAAGACAATATCCATCACTCTATACCCACAACAGATATAATAAAGGAACTAGAAAAAGGCGGCCATAAAGTTCGCAATATAACTAACATTTGACACAGACAAACAAAGGAACCCTTATTTCTATTTTTCATAGACCTTGAACCCAACAGTAACAACGAAGACATAGTCAATCTATAATGCTTATGACACATCAAAATGGCAGTCGAGACACCAAATAAGAGAAACTCAATCATCCTATGCATGCGATGTGAAGCATACGGCCATAGTAAAACATATTGCATTCAACCGCATTACTGCGTCAAATCTGGAGGACAACATGATACAAAAGATTGTAAAAACCTTAGAAGCACTCCAGCTAAGTGTGCACTATGCAAACAAGATCACCCTACTAACTATGTATAAGAGCTGTGTAGTCTACTGGGAACTAGCCGAAAAGAGGAAACCAACAGCCTCAAAGAACAACATTCAACAGCCCACATTTATGTACTGAAACAAATCAGCTAAACACCACTCTACAAAACCATCAAAGAACATATGCAAACGTGACAGCACATCAAACCAACCACGATTCAGAACCTAAAACTAATATAGAACAACAACTATTAACATTCCTAAACGAGTTCAAAAACAAGTTCTCGCAACTCATGAGTCAAAATAGTAGGATATTAAACTTACCGATACAAGTCATTAACCAAAGAAATTCTTAAACATAGAGTGGCCACATAGAACGCTAATGGCCTGCTAAATCATAAGCAGGAAGTAATTACTTTCTTAAATCTGAATAAACTTGATGTTCTGCTTATTTCAGAAACCCACTTTACCGATCTAACTACGTTCAATATTCCACTCTATACCACATACAGCACACCTCATCCCGATGGTGCAGCCCACCACCTCCTCGATTCAAGTCAAAAAACACCAACTGGACAGATTTTCAATCCTGCCTAGAAGAAAACACCAATCTTAATCTGTGGATCAAATCTATACGTGACATAGATATAGCAGCTCAATACTTCACCACACTTGTGCAAAAAGCTGCATGGCAATCTACACCACGAATTGAATGCAAACCAACACATACCACAAATGTTCCCCTGTATATTCGCCAACTCATTGCTGAAAAACGTCGTGCGAGGAGAACCTGGTAAAGATCTAGAAGCAACATAGATCTACATATATTCAATAGACTACATAGGTAACTTGGAGTAGCCATCAAAGCCGCAAACAATGAAACCTTTGAATATTACATTACAAACTTTACAGCAAATGACCAGACGTTATGGAAGGCGTCTAAGAAGCTTCAGAAAGCATACACAACTATCCCTCCCATCCATAAACTAAATGGCGAATGGGCCTGTTCCAACAGAGAAAAAGCGTTCGTCTTTGATAAACATATTACAAACGTATTTCAAACAGAGTCAGCAGACCCTGATGAAGAAGTGGAAGAACTTATTTGGGCGGCATGTCAAATGCCTATCCCAATTAAAAGTTTTACTCCTATAGAAGTCAATAAAGAAATAAACAAACTCAACTCACGAAAAGCCCCAGGTTATGATTTAATCTCGGCACAAGTACTAAAACAACTTCCTCGCAAAACCATTACTTTGCTAACAGTTATATAAGCTTATCATACTTTCCAAAAATATGGAAATTTGCTGAAGTCATGATGATCCTCAAGCCAGGAAAAGAAAACAATGAAGTAACATCTTATCGACCCATTAGCCTACTCCCAACCGTAAGCAAAGTTTTTGAAAGATTGCTGCTCCAAAGTATATACGCAGATCATGAATTCCCAACATTACTTCCAAAACATCAGTTTGGTTTTCGGGAAAATCACTCCACTACCCAACTGATCCATCGAATAATAAATGAAATATCAAAGTCTTGAAGATCTGCAACGCTGTATTTCTAAACATCTCACGAGCGTTTGACGAAGTCTGGCACCGAGGTCTGCTTTACAAAGTAAAAATAGCACTATCCAGTAACTATTTCCTCCTACTTAAATCCTACATATCAAATATATATTTGTCTGTAAAATTCAAAGACCAACAATCCAACCTCTGTCCAAAGTCCCGCAGGGTAGTGTTCTACCTTTTCCCCACTATCTTTAGCCAGAGCTTTTCTCACTCTATACCAGAGACTAATAATACTACAATCAGTTTCTTTGCTGACGACGTAGCAATACTAGCTGTAAATGAAGATCCCATACAACCCTCACAAACCTGCAAAATCATATCAACATACTCAGTGATTGGTATACGAAATGGAGAACAAAAGTAAATAAAACAATCAACTCAAATAACATTTACCAACAGTAACAGATGCTAGGTACCTTGGCCTCCATCTTGACCAACGCCTCACTTGAAAGAAACATATCTAGACCAAAAGAAGGCAGCTTGACTTAAAATTCCGACAAATTTATTGGCTCCTTGGCCGTAAATCAAAACTTACATCCAAAACAAAATTCTTCCATACAAAGCTATACTCAAACCTACCTAGTTATATGGACTACACCTAAGGGGCTGTGCAAAGCCAACGTCGCTGAATATTATCCAAAGATTCAAGTCTAAAGTGCTAAGATCGAAAGTGGATGCACCATGGTATGTAAGTTATCAAACACTTCACTACTTAGAGATTCCACATCCACTTAGACTTAAAGATTTCTTTTATCGGAGAAGAAATTCATCGAGCCACGGAGTCACAAAATGAACATACGATTCACCATGACAATGAGCTAGTAAGGGAACTATTCAACAATGATCCAGCCACAAGAAGACTAGATAGAACCTGGCCACAAGACCTACTTCAAAACTAAACCAAAATAGAATAGGGTGAGACTTTGGATGTCTCTCCTTCACGCCCAAAAGCTGTAACACATTTACTTAATACTCTGTAATGATGTAGATTGTAAATAAACATAATTATAAAAAAAAGTTTATTGATATTCGCGTGCCTCCTCGCTTCTTACCTGTATCACCATTTTGAAGAAAATAAAATATATGTAGGGGATATAAAATAAAAAAACGTTTTTAAAAAGCATTTATTTAGTGGCTTGTACTTGGCCCAAAACATTCTTTTGCAAATGTCTGTGCAACTAATAAAGGAAAAACCAAGGTTGCATCTGCATAAACCTTAACTGGATTTGCATCTTTCCTAATTTTCCCCCAAGACTTAGCTTCATCAGGTCTAGCTCCTGCATCACTACCATCAAATTCTGAAGAAGTGTTAACAAATACTGAGTAATCTGCTCCATTTCTCTGAAATAATATTTACAATATTTAATTATTTACACAAGTAAGTCTTTACGCAATGAGTCCTTTTACATGAAAAAAGAGCACTAGAATATATCGAAATTGCAAGACAGTTAATTAATTTAATAATCTAGAAGTTGTATCAATAAAGTTGGTTTTGATACTACCAAAATGATGTCTGAAATTATCAAAACACATTTATTAAATATGCAACATTAATTAATTTTAGAGGCTCAATTTAGATTATGCTTTAAATTATCACATAAAAGTAGATAAATATTAATACACATACCATTAAATTTGCATTGCAGATGTGATGTTTAATTAGGCCACCTCCTAAAATGATCATTCCTGTGTGCACAGATTTCATTGCCATTAGATTTAGTCTTCTTAAATCTGAAAAATAAAATTAAGAAAGAATAACAAAAAATAATAATAAGCACAAGATGCTGCATCCAAATCACATCAATACTTGCATTTGCATAGTTAAAATCAATACTTGATTTTATTGCAATAACTGAAAGTTGGCTGACAGAAGGGATAAAGGATACTGAACTGGTATCCTTTATATGGTAAAAAAGACAGGAGTAATGAAAAAATCAGGGGTGGTGGTGTCCTGCTGGCAGTAAAGAAGAAACTTAGGGTAGAACCAGTTCAAATTAATCTAAGTTGTCATATTGAGTGCTTACTACTAAAAGTCAAACTTAAAAATATATTTTTCTATTTATGTCTTACATATTTGCCTCCTAATACATGTGATGATGATTATGTAAAGTTTTTATTTAGTTTTGATGATATTTTGGGTACTAATGTAAATTTTTTGTTGTTAGGAGATTTTAATTGGCCTTTTTATGGTAATAGGGGCTGTACAAAATGTGATTTGTTAACCAATTATATTGATATTCATAATCTTACCCAACAGAACTCAGTGTATAGGGTAAACTGTGCAAATACCGGTCAGTGGGTAATGCCGGTCATCCCGATTGTGCGAAATCTATTCAATCTGGCAACCTCCTATAACTGCCAACGTGTCGCTACACTACTCTGTATTCAGATTGCTGACGAGCGTTGAGTTGACGCAAACCATTGTCATAGAAATATTATTAACCTGTTTTCAGTGTTTTCGATCTTATTTTTATGCTGAGTAATATAAGGTCTTAATTCATTTTTATTCACTTGTAGATCTTAAAATTGGTTACAATTGATTATAATGACGTTAGCTGCCTATTCCTTTTTTAAAGATCAATATTTTAATACATGTTTACGAGTAAAAAATTCTAAGAAAAAAATGCCAACAGGAGGCAATGCCGGTCAGTTGACCGGTATTACCCCCATGCTATAATTTATACCCTATACTATTAATCCTTAGTGATTAATCCATCCATTTTTCCACATTGCTAGAAAGAATAAAAAATAAAAATCTTCAAGGTGTCTCATTAGGTAGAAAATCAGTATTTTCTGCCGAACAAGAAGCTAAAATAGCCACACAAAAAAAATATTTAGCTTAATTTTTTATGGCGTAACAGCAATAGAACTGAGAAAATTAGCATTTGGGTTTACAAGATAATTTTTCTTGTAATAAAACACCTTTTTCTTGTAATTGGCATTACAAGAAAAAGGTGTTTGATTCTAGTTCTTTGGAATGGGATATTGATATATCATGTGATAACAGTGACGATGCATACGAAGATAGATGCCTGGTTTACAGCGAGTTTGGCAAATACAATGAATTGTGGTATATATTTGCCGTTTGCTCACGATATTCAGAGTGCAGTGGATGGGATTCTGCAGAGAGTTATACCTGCGATGACTGTCAACTATTTTTACATTAAAACACATATTTTTGTTATTTTTTGTTTGTTTTGTAATAAAAAATATTTTTTCACCTTTCTTACTGATTTACTTGAATTATGACCCATTAAGCCACATTCGTTAATCGTTTTATAACAAAAAAATGTTAAATAGATATTGATTTTTATTTTAATAATAACACAAACAAATTGACTGGCATTACACACACTCATGACCGGTATTGTCCATGTATGGTGACAATACCGGTCAAAGATACTTTTTTATGTTTTGTCTCTGTCAAAGACAAAAATTTTATATTTTTGAAATTAAATGTATCTTGCAATAAGTTAAAACCCCAAATTACGGATTGACGGCTTAAATTTGATTCACAGAGTTTTACTTTTTTTATATTAAATTTTCTTCTTAGGTGACCGCGATTTGCACACTTTACCCTAATCACATGCAAAGAAGGTTGGATTTAGTATTTTCAAATATGAATGTCAACAATTTAATTAAATGCAATGTACCACTTGTTAATGAGGACATATATTATCCTTGTCTTGATTTTATGGTCACATTTAATTTTTTAGATTTAACCGAGAATTGTATTAAAAATTCATTTTTCTATGACTATGCAAAGGGTGATTTTCATATTTTATATGACCTCATTGAAGATATGACCTGGACAGAGCTGGAGGTGTGCTTGGATGTGGATGTACGTATGCAGTTGTTTTATGAAAAGCTGTATGTATGCATTGATCAGTCAGTACCCAAAAAACAGTTGAGAAATGTATTAAAAACAACAAAAAGGTACCTACTTTCTTTACTTTGGAACTTATATCGAAGATTAAATGTAAGAATTGTCTGCATAGGCAGGTAAATAAATCTGCAAATGCTTTGTTTTTGGCTGAATATAAATCACTGAGACGGGAGGTAAAACATCTTAGTAGAAAAGCATATAGATGTCACAATGAAAATATGAAAGTATTGAGAATAATGTAAAAACAGACCCTAGTAGTTTTTGGTCCTTTATAAAATATGTGGTGTAAATAATACAATTCCAACAGAGGTCTCTTACAGGTGTGTGGACATAAGTGGCTGTCAGGATATTGCCAATATTTTTGCAGAATACTTTGGCTCTGTATTTCAAAGATCAAATAGTCTTAATAGTACAATGAATCAAGGGGGGTTTTTACTTTTCAAAAATCACAGTTGGGAATGTTCTCCAAAGCATTAAAAGACTAAAACCAAAAAAAAGCCACAGGTAGTACCAGCATACATTTTTAAAGGTTGTGCAGAGACTCTTTCTGTCCCTCTCACTAATTTTTAATTTGTCCCTTTTGTATAGTGTTTTTGACTTGTTTTATTCTGTCTAGGTTTATATAGGTCTAGGTCTATAATATTGATATTATACAATATTGTACAGGTAATATTCATCTGTGAGAAAGAGGATATTGTCCTGTTGCATGGTCCTATTGGAATTTTTTCAGAAATTCCGTTTATTCATAAAAATGTCTTACATCATAAATCAGCTGCTCTAAAACGAATTATAAGGGAAGAAAAAGAAAAAAGTGCAGCCATTGGAAGACAAACCTTAGAAAATATGGTATTTGTAACTTATATAGACAAGACAACAAAGTGCCACCTGAAGTAGAAGGAGCTAAATTGTGTGTAAATTTATCTATCAATATTATTGACCATCAAAGTTAAAATGCAGGACATGAAAATAATCCCAGTGTATTCTGAAATGACATGCATGGAAATTCATTTCCTTAGAACAGTTACATGACATTAGAATTATGAAAGAAAGTTTCAGTACTGGAGTTAACAAACGTCCAAGGATTATTTTACCATATCTACTACCTTAGATCCCAGATATAAAACATTTTTTTTTTGTTTGAAGTTGGAGCTATTAAAGATAAAGTTGTAAGAAAAATCAAGGAAATTATTAAACTCTATATTGATGAGTCTGAATCTGAGAAAGAAGTAAATGATAGGGATAGTGTAGTTATTATTAGCGATGATGAGGATAAGTATCTTTAACTGCTAGGCAATAAAGAACAAAGACACATGAAAAAAAGAAGCATTCTTCAACAAATTCATTTTTCACACTGTGGAAGTGCTACAATGACTTTGTATTGCCTTTAACATCTACATCCTATATGAGGAGTTGAAAGCCAAGATACTCTATGAACTTGAAGTTTACTCTGAAATGCCAATTTATTGATACGTCAGATCTAATTGAGTTAAGAGCAGGCACTGTTACTTATAGTATTTATAAAGTCAGTCGAAACATTTTATTTGAATACCATATATAAGGGGAGTTCAATATTACATTTATCGGTAATCAAATCAAGTTATAAATAACACGTGTCATTGTTTCGAACGTATTTGGACAATCCCTATATTCCGTATAAGAGAGATAGAGAAAACAGAGCATGAAAGTTACATTCCCCCAAATAAATATTGGACATTGACTTGTTATCCAAAATCACCAAAATTTTACACACTGCTTGAACGTTCGCTACCGGTTGCTAACGCCTGCAATGATGCAGGTAGATAAGAACCGGCTATTGAATTATGCCAGTGCTGTGCATAATTCTAAATGTTAGTTTAGTATTTTACGACGCGACCTGTTATTGTTATAAGTGATAAATAATTATTATACTCTAAATATGGCCTTTTGGCGACCATTTGAAAATGCGGAAAATATTAACCCAGAACCGAATTGTGTTGAAAATAGTTTAGAATTTAAGAACAAAGACCTACATGTGCAGTGTCAACGTATTGTTTTAAACATATATGAGTGTTTAAAAAAAGAAAATGAACAAAACTCTGACAGAACTATTATAAATAGAATACGTGAACTTACCAAACTATCACTATCAACAATTTATCGTATTGTGAGGGAAAGGAACGTAATAAAACACTGTTTAAAACGAAAACGAAATAATCAAAAATTCAGAAAAATAGACGATATGGATAAGAATATTATTCGAAAGACAGTGTATAACTTGTACAAGGAAAACAAGGTACCTACACTGCATATGATCCAAGATGCTCTAAGAGAATACCCTGATTATGACTACCGATGTTTACCGACATTACGAAATATTTTAATAGACTGTGGGTTTAGATATAAAAAATTAAATAATAGAATGGTAATAATGAAGTCGCAGAGAATAGTCAAATTTAGGCAGGAGTATGTATTTACATAAAATTAAAGAATATCGACAGTCCAATAGATTAATAATATGTCTAGACGAGACGTGGTTTGACACACACGACGTCGTTAAGTATGGTTGGGTAGATAACTCTCAGAGCTGCTGTTTAAATACAACATGTTCAAGGGGAAAGCGCATAATAATCTTGCATGCAGGTGGTGAACAAGGATTTGTACAAAATGCATTGCTACTATCTGCCAAAAACATCAATGAATCATCTGCCGATTATCATGAAGACATGACCGCTCATTTATTTGAAAAATGGTTTAAGGAACAACTTCTTCCTAATATTCCGCCCAACTCTGTAATTGTCATGGACAATGCTTCTTATCATTCACGACTATTAAGAAAAATACCCAACAGTAGTACTAGGAAAGATGATATTGTAACTTTTTTGAGAGATAATAAAATACGCATTCCTAATAGAGTCCTTTTAAAGAAAGATTTATTAAGTATTGTAAAGTCCCACAGTTTTAACAAAGAATACGTACTTGATGAACTATGTAAGATACAAGGACATACTATTTTACGCTTGCCACCTTATTACTGCATTTTTAATCCTATAGAAATGATTTGGGGAATATTAAAGACGCGCTTAAGGAAACGAAATGAGTCACCGACATTGAACGCTGTGCAACTAGACAACATACGCCAAGCAGTCAATGAGTTCAATAGTGAGATTTGGAAGAACTGTGTCTCCCATGTTATCGACATAGAAAATGAATATCCCATAGTGGATCATACCACCGTCCCAATTGTTATTCAGCCTAATTTGGACACCGATTCTAATTCTGATTATAATTCTGATTAAAGGTATGTGTGAAATAGTTGTTCATGTATTCATACCTTGACTATAACTAGTCTATGTATTCTTAGTCTGTTTATGAACTCAGTTCGTTAAATGATTTCAGAATACAACTTTGTCTACTATACAAAAATGTGTTTTAGTTATACGAGCCCCGTCTCAGTGAAGTTGACCCAACCAAGAAAACTATCGTTTTTGGTACAGAAATTTGCCTATTTCCTATATTTACATCTAAATTATTAATGTTACGTTGATCAGCAGTTTTTAAAGAAATATTTAGAATATTAAAGTCTTAATGGTAATTAAAATATAATAAATAAATTATGTTTTTATGCGTTTAAAAATTAAGCATGATAATTTAGTTAATATATAATTTGGTTTCCCATTTCAAATACCAAATGTTTTCTTTTAATATTATTCATTATACAGGGTTGCAGAAAAAATTTTGTATGCAACACATGCATAAGATGTCTTTTTTTCACTCGTGGAATTACCGCACTTGCCTGTTGGCTAGTGCAGTTATTCGTTCCATTCGTGAAAAAGTACCACTTTATGCACTTGTTGCATAAATTACTATTATTTTAAGACGCCGCAAAATTTAGTTGTCATAATACACCACGCACTCTATCTCGAATGTCCATACACGTCGCTTAACTTAACGTTAACTTAAATTAAATTAAATTATTTTTGTTCCTAAATATGACACTTTGCACTATGTATTTTACGACCGTTTTACGTACATTAAAATTGTCAATTATATTCAAGGAATACTTGAATATAAAAATAAATGGTGCGCTCATGTCTTGTAATATTATATATTCTTTTAATGTTTGCCGGCAACAAGTTTTTTTGGGTGTTTCAACTGACTATAAATACTATAACTTTAATTTTTTTTTTAGAAAATGTATTAGTTGTTCAAAACAATAGTTTTAATATGTAAATTGAATTTAACAGATTTGTTGGCTTTTTTATTATAGACAGGTTTTCTATCCAGAAATTTTAAGGAACAGTAGTTGCAGCCAACTGGCCAGATTAGTGGTACAGCTGGATTTTTGGTACATCCCCACTAAGTAGATGCAACTACAAATTAAAATGTGAATATTAAGAAAAAATGGATCAATCATATAAGAAGAATGAAAGATGATAGAGTAATCTACATAGCAAGAAACATATCCCTGTTGCGTAGAAGAAGTGTGGGTCGACCACAAAACAGCTTGAAGTGAAAATATATCAAAGGTACATTCTAAGAAAACAGAAACACACAGAAATGTCTAATAAGAAGATAGCTGAGGAAGGAAAAAACCATACTTATGAAATTATTAGCACAATACACTAAAATAAATAGGGAAATAGAAGATCTGCTTTATAGTTACCTGCAATAATATCCACTACAAGCCCAGGGTTTTTGAAAGAATGCATAAACATCATATCACCAAGACTACCATCAGTCAATGCAGGGCAAAACACAGGAATCTTATTCTTGGCTGCCCAATAATAAACACTATCTTCATGATTAATTTCTTTTCCTAGCCTTTCTATAATTTTACTGGGAGTCCACAAAACACCATCCTTCTGTTCTTTCAATAGCTCATCTAAAATTGGCAAAATCCAATTTTCAAAACTGCAATAATTGTCATTTGGCACTAATAAGTTCCCAATCCTGTTAACACCACATTCTCTTAGAGTTTTACCATCTAAATGGAATTCACCTACAAAAGTAGGAGCAAGGCACTTAATGAGATCTTCTTCAACACCACCAGCAGTGGTCACTATGCAGTCTACCTAAAATAGCATAAACTAAAGTCTGTTGTTAAAGTACTATTTAACTAAATTGAAGAAAATCATTGAATATACATTTGCTGTAACTATAAAATCGTCTTTGTACCGATAATAATGTGAAAAGTTAATGTTAAAAATCTCACAGTATTATATACCATCCAGATATTAAAAAAACAGTAAGTACTTAGCTAGTAAACAAATGAAAATAAACCACAAAGTATCCAATCTTACACAAAAGTAACAAAAACAGTGTAAGTTTTGTTCACAACTGTGATGTTACCAATGCAACAACGGAAAAGAATTATTCTTACCATTTTATGCTTAACTAAAAACTTTATAGTTTCTCTTAATCCACTAGATATTAAATTAGAAGTATATCCTAAAAATATTGTACAACTATTTTTAACAACTGTAAATTCATCGTCGTTATCAACAAACTTTTCTTCGGGAATTGGCTGCTTTCTGCATTCCAACATTTTATTAATTTCTTCAACAGCTAAACCAAAATTTGTAGCTTGAAATCCACATTTTAGGTAACTTTGTAGAAGTTTATCATAATGTAATCCTTCATTCCAATTATATCCAGACACTCTGTCATTCAAAAAGGAAAGATTTGTTGTCTTTTTTAAAACAGCTTCATTCAGTTCTAACATTAACGAATTTGCCATTTTTATTTGAAATTAATCTACTTATTTAAAACACAATTGAACTAATTTATTGACACTTCAAAAGTGAGGTTACCGTGTTGATGACCGTGTTGTACTAATGTTATTCTTCTTTTCTTCCACCTCAGGAATTGTTATGTCTAGATTTTTGTAATAATGCAATGATATAAAATTGAAGTTTATACACCCACATAGAAAGGAATGTGTTATAGTAAAAAATTATAAATACACCAATGCTGGAAAAATGCCATATATTTAAAAGAATTCAAAATTCAAATCCAATACATACCGGCACAGTTTAACCACAAACTTTTTCTTTTTTATACTATGATACCGGTATCAAATACATAGATACAATCTATTTACGCGATATTAATTTTGAAATGAGGTCCAGGGATAAAAGCTGATATTATGCTTTTTAAAAATAACACCCAAAATATATTTATTTATTAGCTCAACTGGCAAAACATATAGTGAATTAGAAATGACTAGGAGCACTTTTTGAGATTTTTGTCTTTAATCTATAGAAATGAGAAAATGAAAATCTTGTTTAAAACATAAATCCAGAGATAAAACCGTTACACTCTAACAAATATCTCGTTATGGAAGTGGAAGCAATCTATATAATTTAACATTATGTAAATATTGTATGTAAATATGTTCAAAATGACAAACCTTTCATTTGTAGCAAGCGCTTATGTAGGGGAGAATGGGTTACAGTGAACCACTTTTTATTTGGAGTGGTGTAACTCAGGAAAAAATATGCATATATGTCTGAAATTTGGATGATGAATGCTATAAGGTACGAACTTCTGCTCTCATAAGTGAAACATGATATAACCAGATGTTTGGTACTAGTTAAAATATATATTTTTCAAAGCGTCACTTGGTTCAGTGTGCCCCCGTCCTTGTGAACAGTGAACCAGGCTATGGGTAACAATGAACCAAATGGTGGTACAGAGAATCAGCAGGTTTCTTGGAGAAAAGAAAACGCATGATATAGCAAAACCTTTGATAACTCACTACTAGTACAAACTAGCGTATATCTATTTGAGTAAAATTTAATTTGAATGAATAGAATGACTGTTGTCGTTTAGTATTCCCACAAATAGTTGGTTTTGGTAATATCAATTTTACGTCTGACAGTGCAACCGGAGATACGTCTAAAACGTCTGGCAAACGGAATGTGTTTTCCATTTTATAGTTTCTTCTTAAAAAACTTACTTCTACTTCTTGTTCCTTGGCCTCTTGTAATACCTTAGCAACGTAATAGACTTTACCATTCTTCCCATTGAATTCAACCAACACATAGTCTCCTTCACTGGGTAATTTTTCTAATGGATTAAAAGAGTCGGAGGTCATAATATTCTCCTCATCACCGCTTTCATAATAGTCTTCTACCTCAGAATGAACACTGAACGTATCTTCTTCATCTGTTGTATCTTCTGGTTCTTGAAACACTTTTTTCTTTATGGGATGCGCTTTCTTCTTTCTCTGCTTTTCTGCTTCGCGCTCCTCAATTTCCATTTTTTCTGGGGTGTCCGTGGCTATCATAGATTTACCCTTTCGTCTTGGTTTTCTGGTATTTTTTCTCGGCCCAGCCTTTGGCAGCCCTCGAAATTGATCCGGAGTTACAAATTCCAAAGATATTTCAGCCTCAGAGTCAGGAGTTCTACTTCTACTATGTTCGGCTCCGACTGCCAGTGGATTTTCTGAATTGAAGATTTGGCCATCTGGAGTATTCCCATTATTTTCAGTAATGGGCCTGTTAGTAACTTCACTTGGCAAGAAGTCTATGTCGGTAAAAACATTTCTATCGTACGGGAAGATGCCGGTATTCTTAAAGGAACTACAAATATTTGACGGAGTCATTGCCTTCATATGTGCATCCCCAACGCAAGCAGCTACCTCATAAATTGTTAGAGGTTTTCCTGGATTCCGCATCATCCAACTGTCTACAGCTGCATTGTAAGCAGTTTTGAAAGGTTTATAAAGGCAAACGTCTAAGGGTTGCATCTTTCCGGTAGAATGAGGCGGAACTGTTAATATTGTCACACCATTTTCCTTTGCCAATTCAATGGCTTTTATGCAAATATGAGCTTCAAAGTTGTCCATTATCAGTAAGCTGGGGTTTTCTTTGCTAGTGTTTGAGAATTTAATAAAGTGTTCCATCGTGTCTACAAATAGTGTGCTATTCATCCACCCAGACTGTGTCGCCAATCCTAACGTTCCGGTGGGAGCCCCATTTGTCATGTGATGCTTAAAATGGACACGAGGAAAAATCATGACTGGTGGTAAAAAATTGCCGGAAGCATTGACGATACAACAGGTTGTTACTAATGTTCCCTTTTCACCACTAGTGACTTTGCTGACCTGTTTTTGTCCTTTCGCTGCGAGCACCTTTTGAGATTTTTGCACGGTCAGGGAACTAGTTTCGTCAAGATTATATATCCTAGTCCCATCAGCAAATTCGGGCTTACGTAACATAACTTCTTGTAACTTATCATAAAATATGTTCACATTATGTCGGTTAAATGACGTAGCTCGGGACAGGCTACATCCTTCAGGTGTCCTAAGGCTTAACCGGGGATGTCGCTTTCTAAAATTGTATAGCCATTCCATGCCAGCAAGCTTTCGATCATTCCATTTTTCAGGAATTTTGACGTTGTTGACTATTGCCATTTCGTAGGCCAGCTGGCGACATTCCAGCAGTGTTAACCCGTAAAACATTTGGCTACATTTTACAATATAATTGGCCAGTGCTTCTTCCTGGATGGCTGTGAAAATTTTATTCACTTCATAATTAGGAGTTAGCCGTATTGGTTCATCTGTATTTTTAAATTTTTGCCAATATCTTCTAACAGTCGGATAAGGAATCCCTTTAAGTTTTGCCACACTTCTTATGCTTTGATTTTCTCTCGATATGAGGTCTAAAGCACTTCGCATCTGCTCTTCACTGTGCATGCCAATGCTTGTTTTTCTAACTCGGTTGCGTGGCATTTTGAATCTGAAACAATAAATAAACGTAATCATAAACCAAATTATGATTAATGAAATTAAATGCATACATTCTAAGGGCCGGTTGTTCGAACGCTATTCAAAAATGATCATTACCAAATATTTAATTACTGTCACCAACTGTCAATGTCAATTTTTATTGGGTTGCTGAAAACATAATCGATTACCATTATGAAATTAGTTAATCAATTATGTTAATAATTGTTATGTTAATTGATTCACTAATCTCATAATTGTACTCAATTTATTATGTTTTCAGCAACCCAATTAAAGTTGACATTGACAGTTGGTGACAGTAGGGGAAAGTGGGGGAACCGTGCGCGGTGGGGAACGGTGCGCACCATTAAAATTCAAATTACGCGGCATACTGAGAGTCCCCTCCCGAACAGGCTTAAGCGGGAACATGCACAGAGTCTCTGAAGCCATTAACTGCCACTGCAGTTGAGTTGTGTACTTAGTGAAAGGCGAAAGTGTGCATTTGAGGTTTTTGTTACTATTTTCCACTTGCACAAATTAAGACGGTGAGTCCGTAAATCTTAACTACTTGTTTTGAAATAATTATATTCTTAAAGAATATCATCTGCTGCATATATGCACACCATTTGGTTGCATTTAGATAAGTAATTTTTGTAGGATGATGTAATTACGTTTTTAAACCATAGTGGGGTAACCGTGCGCGAAAATGCGCACGGTTACCCACTAATCAATTAAATATGAAGCAATATTGTTATCGTTTTTGGGTACTAAAATCCGTCTTTTATTTTCAGATGCCACGAAATTACGTTCGAAAGACTGAAATCCATCAATATAGTGATGAATTGCTGGAGACTGCACTGAATGCAATTAGAAACGATGGGAGGAAAATACGAGAAGTTGGGAGGTCTTTTGGTATTCCTGAATCAACACTCAGAAAAAAGCTTTCTCTAAATCAACTAAAAATCCCCCATCTCGGTAGAAAGGCGATTTTTACAGCAGAAGTGGAAGCTGAATTAACCCACTATATTCTGACACTCGCAAAATTGTTTTACGGCGTAACGCCCCGACAACTGAGGCAGTTAGCGTTTAATTATGCTCAACAGAAAAATATTCCAAATAATTTCAATAAACAAACTCAGTTAGCAGGCAAAGATTGGTTGTATGGGTTTCTCAAGCGAAATCCTGAAATATCATTGAGACAGCCTGAGGGGACTAGTCTTAATCGAATTGCTGCATTTAATGCGGACGAGTTAAAACTTTTTTATTCAAATCTCGAGAAAGTTTTACAAAAATTTAAATTTGAAGCAAACAGGATATATAATATGGACGAGACGGGTGTAACCACTGTACAGAAGAAGTGCCCGAAGGTTTATGGACGTAAGGGTGTAAAAAAAGTAGGAGCTGCTATTTCAGGTGAAAGAGGGAGGACCATTACAGCCGTATTTTGCATGAGTGCCACAGGAAATTATATCGCGCCCATGCTGATATATCCCAGAAAGAGAATGGCTCCTGCGCTGCAGAAAAATGGGCCAACTGGTGCTAACTATAAATGTTCAAAAAATGGATGGATGAATTCTGAACTTTTTCTTGATTGGTTAATGCACTTCGAAAAACAGGCAAATCCCACTTTAAATGACCCGATTCTCCTTATCCTTGACAACCATTCAAGCCATATATCCATAGAGGCATACGATTTCTGTAAGTCAAATCATATTCATATGGTGTCCCTTCCGCCACATACTTCCCATCACCTTCAACCCCTTGACCTATCCTTCTTTGGTCCTTTAAAAAATGCGCTATACAGGGAGTATGATATTTATTTAACTACAACAGGCCATGAAAAGATCACTGAATATGACGTAGCTGAGCTGTTAAATAAAGCGTTCGTAAAAGTCGCATCGATGGAGAAAGCAGTTTCGGGATTTCGTTCTGCTGGAATAAGGCCATTTGACCCTAACAAATTCAACGAAGATGATTTCGCTCCGGCCAACGAAATGAGACAGTTTGTAGTAGAAGGTTCTCCCGAACGTAGCGCTAATTTATTAACACTTGCATCTCAGCCAAATCTACAAAAAATTCCTAATCCGGCAACACCCGA